CCCGCCGGCCAGGCCCCCCGTTCCGGGCCGAGCCTGAGCAGGGCGGGACCGGCCGTCCGCGCACCAGAGGCCGCCCCACGCCGAGTTCCTGCTGCCCTCCGGGGCTTCCTGCCCCCGCCCCATCCGCTGGCCCCCTCGTCTCCGCGCCCCCCACCCCGCGTCTCCTTTCTCTGCCCACCGCTCAGCCTTGCGTTCCCTTCCCCCCAGCTCCCCCCAGCGGCCTGGTGGCACCTGGGAGGCGTCCCGAGCGGCGGCGATTCCGCTGGCACCGAGGCCCCTCTGCGTGCCCGGCTCGCTCGGGGTCGGGGCGGAAGACAGCTGCTCCGGTTCGTAGAGGGACGCAGGCACGGCACCAGCCCTGTTAGGCGTGATTTTGTCCTCACAGGAAACCTAGGGGGTAGGCTCTGATTCTCTGTCATAAAAAAGAAAAACCTGAGGCCTAGAGAAGTTAACTTGCCCAGAATCGCACGGCTAGAAAAGGTGTGGAAAGACAGGGTCGCTCTGTGTGCTGGGACACACTGGCGCTTTGGGGGAAACAGACAGGTACACTGGTGATGGTAAAGCAAAGCAGAAAGAGGTGCGTGCACTTTCCTGGCCTGTGCTGCTGTGATTTGAGCTGGGCTTTTAGGGAAGGCTAGGATTTCATCAGGCTGAGCTGGACCCGTGGAGCTTTTCAGGTAGGGAGGAGGCTTGGACACAGACTGGCAGGCACTGCCGGGCATGGTCAAGGAGGAGACAGAAGTCGTTTGCCTGGAAAAGATGGTTTTGGTAGGGAGGCACGGGGAGAGGAGGCTGCAGGGAGAGTTGGAAGGGGTTTGAAGGCCTGCCTGGATTTCATCCTATGGGTGGGGAGCCATTGAAGGATTTGGAGTTCTCTTCCCATCAGCTCCTCTCAAGCAAAGAGTTTCCGCTTCCCTGGCAGGAGTCTGAGGCCAGCCCCATCTTGTCCACCCACTATTCAGTGAGGAGCTGGGCTTGAGTAGAAACAGTCGCCACCTCTCACCAAATAGTGTGAAGGCCTCACGTGAGGCTCCCTGACCCCGTTAAAATGTAAGAAAACTGCATGTGCCTTATTTATAAGGTCGGAGTTTATGCAGATGCCCTTTTCCTGGAACACAAAGATTATAATAATGGCACTCAGATGCTCTTGGAGGCTGAGTGGGATTTCTGGGGTTGGGGAGCTGGGCGATAAAGTGAAAGGACACTTCTGAAGCAAACGTTTAGAGGCTGGGGTCGTATGTCTGGGATTGATCAAGAGAGGAGGAGTGAGGGGAAGGGAAGAAACGTGGCCTCACACCCAGGGGCAGGGCTGCGCCAGCCCAAGGTGCCAGCCCAGTGCAGTCTTTGCAGCCTCAGAGCAGAGCCACCTACCTCCTGAGCAGGAATCCCACATCCAGTTGTTTCTCTGCCAGTCCAGCTCGTCTCCATCCTTTGAGGCCCAGCTAAAGCCCTACCTTCTTCAGGTCAGAGGTCATCTGGTCCAGCTGCCTTCCAAGCAACCACAGAATCCCTGATGCTCCATCCTTGCCAGTTTGTTCAGCCTCTGCTCAGACTCTCCTGTCGCTGTTTTCTGAGGCACCCACCCATGTTCTAGTTCTCAGTGACTTCCTCTAAATGAACCCACACGGGTTCCTACCAGTCACTTTTAAATTTTGCAGAAAGTCACCAAACATCTGTTTAGGAATAATTTTCAGAATGCTGTAAGGGTACCATTGATCCTCAGGTGCTGCCAGAAGGTATAAATATCAGGGCTTCCTCTCTGACCCATGGGTCCTACCGTCAGATGTGGGTTGGGGGGGTCTAGTGGTCGAGCCCTACCCAAAGCAAAATGTGCCCTTGCCTCAGTGTCCCCAGCTGCCGGTCATCTAAGGCACGATTGAACTGTCCAGCGACAGGCAAGTCAGGGGAATGACGGTTTATGATGGTTGCAGCACATATAAAAGTCTAACCTTATGGCATATATCTCATCTTCGTCACCAGTCTGTAAGGTGTGTCACTGATCCTGGGGCAGTGACAACAATGTCCGAGACCGTAATTCGCCCCTTGGGAAGGGTGGGAATAGTGAGAGAAAAAGTCAGTCTCACAAGGGCAGGGGCTCGTGTTTTGTCAAAAAGTCTAACTCTTGGCTGGGGGAGATTTGCAGTAATGGTGATTTTTAGTTTGAGGTGGGTGGTAATTGGACAAAATTAGATTGTCCTGGGGTGGAAAGGAATTAGTCATCAGATTTCCATGTTTATTAAAGAGACACGAGTTGCTTTTTAATAAAGCGGTTGAGCAGCGCTTGTGTTTGTGTCGTTTCAGTGAACCAGTTGTTTTTTTTTGCTAGGTCATCATCAGTAGACAGATCCTGTGCAATTATGATGGGAGGTGCTGGTGGGGCTCTAGTAAATCTGCAGTTTACTATTTCTCCATTAAGACACCCCAGCAGGGCTTCCCTGGTGGCGCAGTGCTTGAGAGTCCGCCTGCCGATGCGGGAGACGCGGGTTCGTGCCCCGTTTCGGGAGGATCCCGCATGCCGCGGAGCGGCTGGGCCCGTGAGCCATGGCCGCTGAGCCTGCGCGTCCGGAGCCTGTGCTCCGCAAATGGGAGAGGCCACAACAGTGAGAGGCCCGCATAACGCAAGGAAAAAAAAAAAAAAAAAGACACCCCAGCAGTGCGAAGTCACTGTTGATTTAGCAAAATTGCACCAAGCGCCTACCACGGGCCCCTCACTGTGCTGTGAAGAGATGCAGCACTGCCTTCAGAGAGCTTGTAGTGGTGGATGCGGGAGGTTACTGTATAGGGCGGCGAGTGCCCTGCTGGGGGTCTGCAAGGAGTGCTGCAGAGGCCTGGAGGCAGGGCACCCGCCCAGAGGAGCTGACCGCCAGGCCGAGATCTGGCGTGTGGCACAGGACATCCCCACTTCCCACACGTGCGCTGCCCCACTCAGCTCCCTGATGCCTCAGAGAGAGGGGCTCAAGGAACACGGCGGGCGGAATGATTGATGCTGGTCTCCTCTCTGTTTCTGCAAGATTTCTCCGTGGACAATGGCAGCTACAATTCAGGCCATGGAGAGGAAGATCGAATCGCAGGCTGCCCGCTTGCTTTCCCTAGAAGGTCGAACCGGGATGGCCGAGAAGAAGCTGGCCGACTGCGAGAAGACGGCCGTGGAGCTGGGGAACCAGCTGGAGGGCAAGTGGGCGGTGCTGGGGACCCTGCTGCAGGAGTACGGGCTGCTGCAGAGGCGGCTGGAGAACGTGGAGAACCTGCTGAGGAACAGGAACTTCTGGATCCTGCGGCTGCCCCCGGGCAGCAAGGGCGAGGCCCCCAAGGTAAGCCCTGGGCGCCGGGGGTGGGACAGCCCGTGCCCGTCAGCGTGCGGGTGAGCGTGCGTGACACTGTGGTTCCGGGTGCCTGTGACCTTTGATGATGTGGCCGTGTATTTCTCTGAGCAGGAGTGGGGGAACCTGTCCGAGTGGCAGAAGGAGCTGTACAAGCACGTGATGCGGGGCAACTACGAGACGCTGGTCTCCCTGGGTAAGGCGTGAGACTCATTTCTTCGTCACGTGTGATTTGGGGAGACCTCAGCTTCTCTCTTCCTTCCTTCTGGTGGCTTTCGTCCCAAGGATACGTAAATCGCTGGGAACCTTGACCAGGCGCGGTTATCGCCTCCTTCCTAAAGATGAGCCCTGGGTGACTGAGTCAAAAGCTGCCCTCTACTTGGTGAAGTTCACGGGGTGCCAGACCGGGAGGCATGGTGGCCCCTCTCCTAACCAGGCTCAGAGCACAGCCATTTCTGTTCTCCTGCTGAGACCTGGAGTGGAGACGGCTCCCACCGCTCTCAGATCCAGTAGGATCAACCCAAGTTTGAGAAGGACTTTTTCTCGCCTTCTCTTGCTGAGGCATGAGGCCTGACCGAGTCGCTCCTCTGGGTCGGCGGAGAATGTGGGCAGACCATGCTTCTCAGAGCCAGCGCTGCCTTCACACCTGGAGGCTTCCCCAGACCCTGGGCCTGCCACCGCTCCCTTCATGCAGTACCCCCCAAGAAGGCCTGGACTGTTTCTTCTGGGCTTATTACCTCTTGGGATGGTGTCTGTGTGACCCCAGGTCTGAAGGCAGAAAGGCATGGTTATGAGGCTGGGAGCAGGTGCGGGTGGGAGGTTCTATTTCAGTTTGCAGGAATGTACGGCTTCTTCACCTCGAGACCCTGTACCAGAGTGTCTTCAGCTCAGCACTGCATCTTGGGCCAGATGAGGCTTTGTTTTGGGGGCCATCCTGTGCCTCACAGGATGTTCGGCAGTGTCCCTCTTCCCAGCAGACGCCAGTGGCACCTCTCCTCCAGCCCCCAGTCGTGACAACCAAAAGTGTCTCAGACTTTGACACATGTCCCCTAGGAGGCAAACTTGCCTATGGTTGGGAACCACTGCCCTTTACCAATCAAGAAATGTAGTTTCTAGGCCATCTTGGTTTCCCAGGTTGCCTGTCCCCAGCTCTGAACGGAACATGGCAAAAGCTAACCCTACTGTCTTTCCCCAGACTATGCCATCTCCAAGCCCGAGGTCCTCTCCCAGATTGAACAGGGGAAGGAGCCGTGCAGCTGGCGTCGCACTGGCCCCAAGGTTCCAGATGTTCCTGTGGACCCGAGTCCAGGTGAGGGGTTGGGGGAAGGCTAGGGGGATAGCAGGCAATCAGATGGAAGCAAAAGTAAAGGGCCAGGGAAGGTGTGACCTTCTTTCCAGGGAGAGCCAAGGAAAAACATCAATGTTTTAAACCTGAGTTTTCTTATAGTTGAATTATGACCTATAGCCTGTTCAGCTAACACTCCAGGAATACTTCCAAGCGTGAAAACAGGCAACAAACCTAGTCTTTTAGGAAAGAGATGGTGCCAGTGGCTCAGCATTAAGGAAAGAACGAGGGAGACACAGACAGGAAGGTGGAAGATAATAAAGACAAAATTTAATTCACTCATAGCTTTACAAAGAGTCAGCCTCGCCTCCACCCGAGAACCAAATTTCACTTAAAACCATTAGTAATCACAGAACATTAACCCCTTAGCCATGTCTCAACATGGTTAGAGTCACTGATTTATTTAAAGGTGAATCTGGATACCCGATACTACGGTCTCAGATTTTCCTGGGCCAGTCAGCATCTTTGAAAGTTAAGGAAAGGACAGGTAGACACATGAGAAAAGCCAAATGGCTGACGGGAAGACCTTGCTGGGTTGGGGGTCAGCAACGGTCTGTCACTTACCAGGCAGACACCGCCCCTGCAGGCTCAAGCCCACCTCCTCCCAAGATTCCTGGTCTGCACCACCTGCCTTGGGGCTTCCCTTTCGTCTGAACACCTAGGTTACTAAAAAGTCTCATATGTTTAACTTGTGATTCACAAAATGTGTCTTCCGTGTTTGCAGTTAGATTTTCCCTTTACCCGGGGCAGACCGTGTTCAGAAATCATTCACCAGTTTAAGTCAACAGGGACAGTGCTGAAAGCTAGAAATTGACTAAGAGCAGAGTGCTGTCTGGATGGAAAAGATAGTTATGACACGTGGGGCTGCCAGCGGCTTACCTTGGGTGGGAGGTTCCCCGGAGCTTTGTTTTATTGTATGTGGAGGCCTCCCTGGATGTAATAAATATACACGATAATGAGAGTGAATAGGGGCCTGGAAATGTGGTGGCTTCTGGCGAGTCCCTGCCCAGCCCTCCCCTCCGGCACTCAGAGCTCCCCTCTCGGCCTTGAGCCCGTCACAGGAACCCTGGGTGGCCCTAATCCCCGCCCACCTCGGTCCAAGAAGCCGGGACCCCCGGTCCACCCACCCCTCTCTGGGCTTCGTGCAGCCGCTCGTCAGACCTCCTCTCCCACTTCTCTTCAACCCCTAAATCTTCCCAACTGTGCTTGGGGAAGTGGGTGCTCAGCAAGGCCGCCAATCCTCGGGCTCCTCCCCAGCTGTCCACCCATTCTTGCCCAGCAGACACCTGCTTCCTGCCCTTTCCTCACCCTCTTCCCCTGCCTGGAGGGCGCTGCTGTCACTGGGGTCGTTGCTCCTCAGTATAGCCTCTCCTGGTTTTCCTCCCACCTTTCCTTTGCTATTTCCTGCCGCCCTTTCTGATCTTTAAGCATTGGGGTGCCCTCAGCCCTCTGCCGCCTCTCTCTGCGCCCACACTCCGTCCTCCCGGTGGGCACTCCCACCGGGGCCTCTTCCCTGAATCCTGCACGCCCGCCGCCCGGTCTGTCTGCACGTGGACAGCTGCCGGACAGCCCGTTTGGAGCACGTGCCTCCCCGAGCTCCTCGTCTGCCCGTCAGAACCTGCTCCTCCCACAGGCCTCCCCACTGCAGTAGGAGCCCTCCGTCCTCCAGCTGCTGGCCCAGAACACAGGGGCCATCCCTGACCCTCTTTCACGCCCAGCCCCCCACGTCGGGAAACCCTGCCAGCACTCCTCCAGACTCCTGCCCGTCCCCCTGCCCCCAGGCCCGTGGTTTCCTGCTTAGAGTATCGCGGGCACCTCCCGCCAGTCTCCCTGCTCCTGCCCTAATCCTCCAGAGTCTGCTCCCCACCCAGCAACCAGAGTGACCCCTTTACAGCACAAGTCCTGCATCCTTTGGCTCCCAACCCCTGCTGGCTTTCCATCGACTCACACAGCCGGGCGCCTCTCCCTCTGCTTGTCCCCCACTCGCTCAGTTCCAGCCACACTGGCCTCCTTGCTGTTCCCGCAACACTCCAGGCTGGCCCAGTCTCCGAGCCTTTGCACCTGGCAGTGCCCTCTGCCAGGAGTGCTCTTCAGATATTTCCTGGGCTCAACCCATTGCCTCCTTCAGGTCTCTGCTGAAGTATGACTTTCCCTAATCACCCTATTTAAAATGGCAGCCCCTCTCCCCACCCAGAGTTTCCAGTCTCCCTTTCCTACTTTGGTTTGTTCCATATCCGATATCGTCCATTATGTATATTTCGTATTTTAGATTATTATATATTTTATATTTATAGACTTTATATAGACATAGATATTACATATGTATAACTGTAATATATTTCATATTTATAGATTATATATGTTTCCATTGATAGATGTGTATGTGTCTGGTCCCCACCCTCACCTTCATTAGGATGTAAATTTCAAGAGGATGAGAACTTTATTTGTTTTGTTCATATAATCATTCTGGCCTCCTAGAACACTGCCTAGCACAGAGTAGGAATTTAATAACTATTTTTGAATGTATCCTGTGTTTCATAATTTAAATCGTGTGTGTATATAATATATTTCTGATACAATTTAAGTTCCTTTTTAGATCTCCCAGCCTCATTCCTCCCCAGGGCAGCCAGTTGTCCAGAAGTTGATGTTTGTCCTCTCTATCCACATTTTTAAACTTCTCTTGTACACATATGTAGCCATAAACAATACATAATAATGGTTTTGTTGTGTTTTGAAAAATCACGTGTCATCATATCTATCACTCAGTATTCTGTATTTCATACTTATCTCTGTTGATGCATATAAATCAAGTTCATTCATTTTAATGGATGCTCAGCATTCCAAAAGCAACTATATTACAATTTTTTATCCATCCCTCCACTGAGTTGCACTTAAGCTGTTTCTAACTTTTCACTGTCACAAGTGGTACTGGACACCATTCTTCAAGGTGTCTTTTCGTGTCCATGTGCTGCTGTCTCTCTAGGGAATAGACCTGGAGGAGGAATCCCAGTGTGGAGGGCATGCCCGTCTGCACCTCTGCCATTGCCAGATCACCCTCCCCATGGTCACACTGGCTTACATACTCCCCAGAAGTTAAGAGGACCTGCTTTCTTACTTCCTTGCCCACTTTTCAGAATTAGATGTTTGCCGATCTGATGGAAGTGAAATGGTATCTTGTTTTAATTTGCATTTCCCCAGTTGTTAGTGGAGCTGAGCATTTTCAGATGTTTATTTGGTTTCTGCTTCCGTGAATTATCTTTTTCTGTTTTTCTACTGTTGTTTCTCATTATCTTACTGATTCAGGTCTCTTTATATAGTTCTGGATACTAACGCTTTGTCTGTTATTTGCATTACAAATATCTTCTCCCAGTCTGTGGCAGGTCTTTTAACTTTGTAGTTCTTAGATAGAAGTTTTAATTTTTGGTAGAGTCATAAACACCAGTCTTTTCCTTTATGATCTGTGCTTTTTCTGTCTTAAAATATCTTTTCCTGCCTCACTCTAGTTTTGCTTTTTACATTTAAGTCTCTAATCCAACTAGAATGAATATTTGGGGAGGTTATAAGGGAGAATTTTTTAAAAATTTCCCCACAAGACATCTAGTTTTCCAGCAAAGTTTGCTGGAGACTCTCCCTTTTCTCCAATGATGTGTAATGCCCATTTGGTCACGAACCAGGTTTCCATACATGCACGCGCCGTTCCTGGGCTCTTTACTGGTTTCTTTGGTCTCTTTGTCTATCTCTGCACCAATTCTCACTGTTTCAGTTTCATACTAAGCCTTGATATGTAGTAGACTAAGCTTTCCCTACTGGTTCTTCTAAACTTCTCTTGGCTATTCTTGGACCTTTGTTCTTCTAGATGAATTTCAGAATCTTTGTGTCAGGTTCTCAGAAATCCCGTTGGAATTTTGATTGGAATTGCATTTCCTTTGTAATTTCATTTCTGGAGAATTACTGTCATTGCAGTATTGAGCCCCCTTACCCACAGGAAGACTTGTTTACTGAAGCCTCCTGTGTGTGCCTGAATAGGACTTTACAGTTTTCTCCTTATCATTGTTGTTTCTGTTGTGAATGAGATTTTTAAATTAATTACTTGTTTTAAATAGTTGTTGCAGGTGTGCGGCAAAGCTGTTGACTTCGTTAAGTAAGAAAAACAGTTTTCTCAACTCTCTTATTACTTCTAATGACTAGTCAGTTTAGATTCTTAGGTTCTTTACATACACAATTGTGCTCTCCATAGATAGCACAAAAGTTATCTCTTCTTTTCAAATGTTCGTAACTTTATTTTTCTGGTTTAGCAGTGGGCCTACGACATGGTTAAATAGTAGCTGTGATAGCTGGCATCCTTGTCTGTGGGATACTTAGAGAGTTTCGGCATTTAGGATGATTTTTGCCATAGACTTTTGAAGATACCGTTAGTTTAAAAGAAGTTTCCTTCCACTTCTGGCCACTGTTTTTAATCGTGAATAAATGTTATATTGTATCAAGTGTTGTTTTTTTAATATTTCTTTAATACATTTTACTTTGTATTATATAACAGAAGCAAAATACATACAGAATAAAATACATAACATAAACAAAATACATAAAGTTTAGAGAACGATTGATAAACACCCATATTCCCAACTCCCAGCATAAGAAATAGATCATAACCCGATCTATTTCCAAGACCCCACTCTCCCTCCCAGACCCCAGACCCCTCCCTTCCTCTCACAGATAAAGAGATCAGTCCCTTGCTTTTCCTTACATTTTTATTACCTATGTATATATTCCTAAGTAACATTGTTTAACCTGGTTTTGAACTTTTTATGAATGAGATCATACCATATATATTCTTCTGTAACTTGCTTTTTTTTTCATTTGACTTTGTTTTTGAGAGTCATCCATGTTGATGTAGTGTAGCTGTAGTCATTCCTTTTCATGATTTCCCCTACTTTATAGTGTCTGTTTTATGAATATAACACAAT